GCCCACAGCAATGCCACCCCATGAGTCCAGCTGTAGGCCTAAATCCCACAACAATGTTTCATGCAAGTCTGTACCAAGGACCTGCACTGGGAAGGCCCAACATCCAGGGGTAGAAGCTACAAAGCCTCAAGTTGGCCACTAGTTGTCAGTCCACCACACCTGCTCTGAACAACAACCAGTTCTTCATCATGAGCCAGCTGCTTTCTTTCTTACAGGCACCAGTTATTAATATAATTGCTACCTATCTCATCACCTTTACTATCCATTTTTATAATAAGGTACCAAACAACTTAGACAAGCCCATTGTATCTGCTTTTCATCATAGCATGATAAATGTTACCTGTGCTAATGGGTACTGTTCACAATCATAATTATTCTCAATTCATAAAAATATAAAATAAACAATATAAATCTAATTAATAGACTTGATGATATTATAACCAATTTTATTCACCAAAATTCCTTTAAATATAATTCTAGGACATCGCTCATGACATTGCCCAAATATCAGGCAGTTAAAAATAAGAGGTACATTTTATAAGGGAGAGTGAAGCCGGAAATTCTAATAAGGATTTCAGAGTAGTAAAAATAAACACAAAGTATTTTATAAAAGTATTTATGAAGGGCCGGGGATATAGCTCAGTGGCACAAGCACCTGCGTGGCAAGCGCAAGGTCCTGAGTTCGATTCCCGGTACCAAAGAAAAAGTGTTTATGAGCTCTTAAGCGCAGATAGGAGTTTCCTGAAAATCTGAAGAAAACAAACAAGCCTTTACCAAGGTTAAGTTCAAAGAGCTGGGCGAATTTCATCTACCTATGTGATGAGGCCATTGGCTTAGCTATAGCCTTGTATGCCAGCTATCCACTCCCACCATTTAACCAATTGCTTTTCAATTTTTATCGGGGAATCTGATTTACTTACCTTTATGATTAGTATATGTCTACATAATACACACATTCATACATACATCATAAACACATTCATTGTGGTGCATCAGTGCATGTACATTTCACATCTTGATGCTTCTCACTTCCCCTTCACCTCCTTTCTTTCGTTTCTCCTCCGTCCCCAGGTCCTTGTCCTATCTTCACCAAGTCTATCTCTGTTTTCTATCATCTATCTTTTAGGTTGGTTCTTTTTATTTTTTCCTCCAATTTTTTTCTATTTTTTATTTAGACTATATTTTTAGAGCTGTATCAGGTTCACAGCAAAACTGAGTGTAAGTTACAGAGCTATGCCACCTACCTCACCACCACCACCACCGCCACCACCCCACCACCCCACCACCCCACCCCGTCTCCAGACACAAGACGCTCCCACTCACCCCACCCTCACAGAGTGGCCCATATGATACAGTTGATGAACCTGCAATGACCTGAAGTCACCAGGGTCTATTATGGTTCCTTCTTGGTTTTGTACATGCTATGGGGTTGGCAAAATGTTGAATGAGATGTATCCACCATTGCAGTATCACAGCAGGTGGTCTCACAGCCGTAAAACTCTGGGTTTTGTGCATTCATCCCTCAATCCTTGCCCCACCAGCCTCTGACAGCCACTGATATTTCTACTGTCCATATAGGTTGGTTCTTTATCTTACTTATATTTTGGGTTCTTCTTATGAGAAAAATCACCCAATATTTAACCTGCTGTGTCTGACTTATTTCACTTAGAATTATAGCATTAAGATCTATCAATTTTCCTACAAGTGACTCAGATCTATTCTTCTTTATCACTGAGTAATAATTAATCATATATATATTATATATAATATATAATATATATGTATTACATTTTCTTTATCCATTCATCTGTTGACTGACATATAGACCAGTTTCAACATTTAGCTATCATGAACTGTGCTGCTAACATGGGTATGCATGTATCACTGCAGTGTGATGTCTTGAACTCTTTCAGAAAGATGCCCAAAAGAGATACAACTGGGTCACCATTTGACCAGCTCTTGATACATCCTTTTGAGTTTTATAAGCTTTATGTCTCTCCAATTAAAGGCAAATGTTATAGAAGTAACTCATACCTTTTGTTTCTATCCTAGTCTTGTAACAACCAAGTACCATATAAGAAAAACATTACAACATCCATGATTTACGGAGAACTCCTGTAATGCAAGACATTGTTAAGCATTTACAAAACATTGGAAAGGTAAGAAAAGCTTGAGACTCAAAATGTAATCTGTAGAAGAGGATAGTGAAGAAAGACCTTTGTGAATTTGCTCTACAAAACTGAACTATGAGCTTCATAAGAGCAGAACTCACACCGGCTTTGTCCACCACCACATAATCAGCAAGAGAGGTATCCTCTTGTTTGTTGAAAAGCACCAGAGGGAAAGAGAGAGGAAGGAAAAGACAGACACAAGGAGGAAAAGAGGAGAAATTTGGTTTTGAGGTAGGGGAGCTAATTGCCCAGAGACAGTGGCCAAAAGGTTTCAGCTCAGAATAATGAAAAACTTCCGGAAGTGGATTGTGGTGATAGTTGCATGACATTGTGAATTTACTTAACATCACGAAATTATACACTTGACAATAGTTAAAATGGCAACTTTTATGCTATGTGTACTCTACCCAGTACAAAAAAAATAATGAAATTTGAGGGTTTTTATCCTTGTTGTATAAATGTCTTCCATGCCCCTAAACTTTCAGTAAAGTCTCTTAGACACACAAATGCCTTATGTAAATGGATTTAATGAAAAACAAGGAAAGGAAGTGGGGTAGCTGGAAGAGAAATAGACTGTAAAATTATAATCTGAGCCATAAAATGATCTAATTGTTCTAAAGTTTAAGTTCAGAGCCAGAGATAAGAAAAGAGAAGACACCTTCTCATGACCTCTCCACTAGCAGATTCCCCTGAGATGTTAGGAGCAGCTGGAATGTCCACCAAACAGGAAAGGAGATGGAGCAAATTTCATCCCAATATCAAGTGACAGGTGCCCCACCTGAGATCTGGGCCACACACATATTACTTTAACTGACTTCTGCACACAGAGGCACGAGATGCTATCATCATCTCTGGTTTGCAGATGAGTTAGCCAGGGTTTCCAGAAGTAAGCAAGCCTGCAAGCAAGTGACGGAAGCCACAAAAGTTACACTTCTTCCCCTCCAGCTACAGGATATTGGATACAAATTGCATTTCTAGGCCCTAGGCTAAGAAGAGAAAGAAACCATCACAACCTTATCTCTAAAAAGACTGTTCTTCCTCAGATTACTTTGAAACTTTATAATTTATTATGTAACAAGGCAAAGAATGGTGAGAACTTTCTAAGTTCAAATATAAATAGAATAGCTCTAATAGCAGAAAAAAATGATTCCCCAGAAATAAAAGCAAGGAAATGGCTTAGCAATACCACTATATCCTTTGCATTTCACACTCCTGCAATAAATAGCTCAAACAAGTATTTGTTAATATCAGAACATAACATCTATGTCATTATGTATTAATATATCAATGTCATTTATTAAAAATGAGCAGCCGTTTAGATAAAAACATAAAGATAAAGCATCTCTGTTCTTGTATTTTTATTGAAATCTAGAAAGCTGAAGAACAAAAAACAAAAATATTTTTTAAAAGTACTCTTTAGACCTCTGAAAAATTTTGACTTTTCCAAACTATACGTGAAGTGACCGAAATAAACAATAAATGAAAGCTACTTACACCATGGCTTTGAAAGGGCCATTTAGAGTTCTGCTAGTGATTTGTATTTTAGAATAAACCAGAACATTTTGGAAAACTAAAGTATTTCTTTTTTGGGGAAAAAAAAAGAGGCATGGAATTAATGTATTGTAAAACTCATGTGCTGCTTTAGCGAGAGATTACTGTAAGTCATAGTAAATACTTCTTTGATAAGGGGGACCCTGAGAGTGGAGTCAGCCAAAGGAAAAATTGAAAATATTTCCACTCTGCAAAAATCATGTGTATATTTTGCTTCTGGAAGACCATCAGTGGTATAAAAAACATTTTGCTCTGGCAGCGGAGACAAGGACCAAATTCTCCGCAAGGCTCTAAGCTCCTCCTGCTGGGAGAAAAGCATCTATTCCTCCTGATCCGCGCACCTCATCTGTCTCTATTTTCCGTATATTTGTCTGCTTCTGTTTCTCCTTGTGTGATTCTGAAGAGAAAATATAGAGATGTGTTTCTGGACGTAACAGAGATAAGGACAAAAGCAACCCGACTGGTACCAGTTCTCACTTTCTAATAAAAAGCAAAGGGACTGAGCACATCGACTCCCCATCAGTCCAGATGGAGGCCAGGGGAGCCTGCAAGAATATTGTGCTTGTGATATGTTGTAAAATGTTGTATGTCTGTTAATGTTTCCCTCCTTTTATCTTTAAAATTAAAAAAAAAAAAAGAATCCTGCCATGAGAATTAAAATAAACCAACATGTTTCCGAGATTCTTATTAGTCCTTCCTGCCCAGATTTACTAAAACATGGAAGTTTATTGACTCCAAGCACCTTTAGGGTCCCTGATTTGCTCCAGTGAGGGAGAGGAGGCTAAAAGTAGAACTGCCCTTTGGAGGCAGCCGGTTTTGGAGCCTGGAAATCAACTTGTGTTTTTTTCATCCCTTCCTTCCCTTTTCCCTCCTTCTCAGCTGACCATGCAAGGATTCTTTTCAAATGTTTCTACTGTGCTCTTCTGATTAAGAAAGACTCTGAACCTCTAATTGATTCTAACCCACTGCCCACTTTGTCGTACAGCCTTCTCAGCTACCTTGTTTCCCAAGTAATTTTTCTTTTTCTTCCATGGAAGTCATTTTGTGAGCCCCTAAATATTGAGGGACACACAAAGGACTCCATCAACTCTTGTAGCCCTCACTTCACCGTACATCCAAAGACTCTGGGAATAAGTAAACGAGAATCCCTTGCTCACCAGTGAAACTCAGTGACTAAACCCAGACACTAAGCTCACAAAAAAGACCCTGATCAGCAAAGAATGATTCACAGACCACTAAGTCTCTCAAATAAAGAACTCTGTTGAGACATAATGCAATGCCAACTAATGCAGGTTTATTGAGAAGTACATAGCAAGACAAACTCCCTTTTTCAGAGACAAAAGCAGAAGCCAGGAGATACAGCAGCAAGGGCAAAACATGTCAGAAGCATTGGGACTGGCCTGTGGGTGGTACAGCCTCTGGAAACATTGAGAGACATACCCAGCACCAGGGATCAGCCCTTAAAGTAATCTTAGTGCCAGCCAGAAGAATTCTAGAGTGCCAAAGGCAGCTTGTGCATGGCTGGCAGCCAGAGGTGCAGCGGTTAATGGAGTCGGAACTGAAGAGATTCAGGCGGCATGCTGGAAGATCCTGGAAACACAGCTGGCAGGGCATGGAGTCTTGACTATCTCACTGGATCCCAGACACTTAGCAAGGTCTTCGGCAGCTGGACACGCAGGACTGCTGGTACGTCCTGGAGACCCCACAGGCTGGTTGGTAGACAGTAGAGACTCCTCCCACGGGTTGGCAGACAGTGGAGATACCACCCACTGGTTGGCAGACACTGGAAATGCCTCCCACAGGCTGACAACCACTAGAGACAAAGGAGAGTGGCCGGCTGCAGGGAGTCGAGCAGGTTGTTTGTCGAGAGCAAGTTACCTGGACAGGGTTGGAAATGCAAGAGGTTCGCTGGTAACAGGTTGGCTCGCAAACAGTGGGCTGGCAGCTGGTCTCCTGACAGTGGTCCAGGAGCCAAGAGCCAGTTTGGTAGGAACTGGGCAAATAGATGCCACTCAGGCAGTCAACATCTTGGGTTGTAGCCGTAGCAACTGGGGCCTGGATAGTGTAGCGTCCTCCAGTTGGCCTGGAAGAGCAATTTCTTGTGGAGCAGTTGAAGGACATGATGCCAGGTGGAGGGCAGTGGGTATCTCTCTGAAGTTTAGCTTCTGGATTCTGAATGTCACTTCAAGCTTCTGAGCTTTTATACATCCTTGCTGGTGGGTGGGGCTCCCTCCCTGGTTGGCCTGGCTTCCTTGGCTCACACCAGCCTGCCTTAGAACACCTTGTGAATCTAGAAGTTAATTGTCTCTTAAGAAGCCTTCCCCCTCATAAAGAAAATTTAGTAGTTTGGTAACTAAATCATAAGTCTCCTGCACTGTAGTTAGTCTGGTTTAAGAAGGTTGGTGGACGGCTTCAAAGTGATTGGTCATCCCTGCCCACAGTCCATCCTCCTTCATCTTGCTTGCGTCCAATGAGCATCAATCTGACTGCAACCCCAAACATGCTACGCTCCTCTCACCACGTACTCTCTCCCTTCTAACCAGGCCCAATTTCAAGCCCACACCCTGCTTGGGTTGTCACTCACATTTAATATGTTTTAAGCACAACTTAATCAGTCACTCTTCCATAGATAACGGGGCTTCTAATAGGGAAGGTGCCTCCTTGATATATTTCAAGATGGCAAGACCCACTAGGAAAAAAAGACATAAAGACCTGAATCCAAAGCCTGAGCTGGCTGTCAAATTAATCAGCTGACCAAAGCAAGATGTGCACAGGAAGGCTGAAGGGCAATGGGACCCTCCCTTTCTGTTCAAGTAGTGGAGCAAATTAAATACTAACTAAGTGTAACCGCATTGTAGCCAGGACCCTTTCTAAATAAATTGGATGAGCTTATTCTTAAAATTTTTAATCTAATAATAATAGATAACAGTGTCTCATGAGCCTCATTAATATGCCAATGGAACAGGCTTAGTTAATTTTTAAATTATTATAATGTTAATTTGAAAGGGTAGAGTGTCTTTCTCCCAATTTGCTTAATATATTCAAAACATATTTTATTTTCACACAAGTACTTATACATAGGATGTGTTTTAATCATGGGCAAACTAAGGACTCTTGAAGGTCATTGTATCAGAGATAAAGCTTCTCAAGGGAGAGGAAGTGGGCACTTAATCATTGCTGGGTCATGAATGGGTATGGAAAGAATTTTCTATAATATTTAATTATTTCTTTCACGTTTGGGAGAACTGTAAGGATATTATTTCTCTTTATCTCATCTCACTACAATATATTCAGTCCTGAACACGAAAATGATGCTCCAGAAGTTTCAGCTTACCTGGTAAAGCCAGTGAATCAATGACTTTGAGTCTGGCAAAATAAATCACTTTGACATAGCTTAAGCGGTCAGTGATTTTTCTACTTCAACAAAGCTGTAAGGTCTGACTCACTTCATAAACTAGCTTCCATGGAGTACAGTAATGGATTTACATACATTTGAGGTCTACGGGTAGGCGACATTTTAAATATCCACAAAGCAAGCAGCTTTATGTCAGAACTCATCAGACATCCCCTCGCAAAAGCATCATTCATCTAAATGGGAACTAATGATGCACTCAAACAAGATGCTGTGCTATGGGCTGTGTTATAATTCCCAGGGATCAGCCCTCAGGGACTGCAAGAGTGTTCTCAGGAACAGGGGGAAATTAACAAGATGACTACTTTCTACAATGTTGTGACTCTGTTCTTCCCACCACCAAGAACGTCCCAGCTGGTGTTTGAAGGTCAGAGTCCCTGGTCACGGGGCCTGGCTTGCTTGTTTTAAAGTGGATGAGTAGTTTATAGGCTTCTCCCAGCCAAAGATTTGCAGGCTGCAATGGAAGAGTACTCAATTATGTAACTGCCGAAAAAAGTAAAGTCATTAGGAGGGTAACCCAGAAGAGTCTGTTGGTACCCACTGCAACATTTCTGAAATGACAGAGATTTTTGTAGGTCATTATTTTGTCCAAATTCAACTTTTCCACTGATTTTGGAAATTACAAATAAAGGGATGACAGGAAACATCTCCCATCGGCTCTAGAAGGCAAGGACATAAACATTTTTTGAGCACAGGATTTTCTTTCAGGTAATAAGAGGTCTTGTCTGCTCCATCTCATTGGGTCCGTCCCAAAACTCTGTGGTGTACACATCACATCTCGCCAAAGAGATGAATTTTAGGAAAGTGAATGGCCACTAAGATCATACAGTTTCTATTTCACTAAGTCGAGAGCCAAATAAAACAAAGCCCTTGAGCTGCCAATCCACAATGGTACCATTTTAAACATGATGAGATGCCTTTATTAAAGTATGAATGCAGATTTAGGTTTTTAAAGTTAATCAATCATTGATGATGTAAAGGATGTAGTCTTCATCTTTTTTTCTAAGTTCATCAGTGGGTTAACAGTGAAAATAAATGAAGTAGTAAGTTATAATCATTGCTATCCTTACACTTCTTGTATTTCTTTTTCACTGTCTATGCAGTGTAATAATTGTTATTACATTAGGATAAGAGGCAAGGTTACTATAAACTCAGCAAGAAAAACAAAGTTCTCAATAACTTGAAGCCACCATTTAAATCTGCAATTATTCATAATGGCAATGCATGCAACTAATTCTTCTCAGAGAATAGCAGAGTAATGAATTGATTTTTTCATCCTACCTACTTTCCAGAGATCTACCATTTTTCAATCTGTTGAGCAGACCCACTAGAGTTTAATTCTTAAAAGAAACTACTAGTTTGGTTTACATTATGGCTGAAGGCAGATTATTGAAATCCTATATTGCTAAAATAATTTTAGAGTTTGTAAATCATATTTTTCAGAAAGGTCGCTTCAGTGATATTCTCTGAAACTACCCATTGTGGGTTAGGGAAGCTACTCAGTACTCACTTGTATTCTATTTTCAGATATAAACATTTGGGCTGGTTAGTTGGATTCACTGTAAGTTGTAGAACTGTGCCCTGAAGATCACATGAAGTGTGAAGAAACACTACACAAATTCATGCTGTTAAATGCAATGGAAGATAAACCAGCCTTCCCTTGACGTCTAAGAAAAATCATAGCTGCAGTGAGTACGTAAGTAACTGCAATGTGAAACTAAAGCTCAGTGCAAAGACTCAGGAAGATTATTCTCCCTTCTGCAGAGCTTGAAGTGAAGGGAGAGTGTGGGAGAGCAGATGAGGGGAGATCAAAGAACCAGCATCCGTTATCTCCGCCACTGATGGATGATTTACTCTCATTTGTACAGAACAATCTAAATCTCGTGTGATAATTACTGCGGGCTGGAAATGAGCACTTCTTTTCACTCTAAACGGAATCACCACAATAATCATACACAAGGCCAAGAATCTCAGAGTAAATGAGTGCAGCAGGTGTGGGTAACTGAAGGTTTGATATGCAGAAAGGGTGTTTTTCATCACAAAGTTGGTAATACTGTTGACCAACACTCATTCAGGCGAAAAAAGATAGATTTTTTTTTTGTAAATGGGAAGGGGACCAAGGGGTGGAGGGAATGCAGGAGGGGAAGGAGACCGAAAAAGAATTAACATGTGTTATGTACATGTACCAACCCTCCCCAGCTAGTGTCACCATTATGCAGGGCAGACATGTACTAATAAAAATAAAACTTAAAAAAAGCAAAACCACTTTGCCTCATCATAAGGAGGCATCATGAACTTGCATAAAAATTGATAAATATAAAATGAAATTTGGTCGTTTTGTACTTTTTCTGAATGTCCTCTAAGATCCAATTCATTCTTTCTTAACAAACATAAAAAGTTTGAATACAGAGCATCATGCCTGTTTTAAAAATTAACTACATCTTGCATGAGTTGTTCTACTTTATTTTTTTTCAATTTCATGCCGACTCTGGGAAGAATTTCCAGAATCCTTATTAACCAAGACATAAATCCCTGAAGCTTGAGCTATTTGCACCATGAAACTGAATTGAAATTTACGTTCCAAACTCTTTTCAAAAAGCATCAATCATAAGCAGAGCTGAATCACTTGGGCTGGAGGGAACTGCAGGGCAGAAAGTAAGGGGTAAAAGTAGGAAGCAAAGACTAGCAAAATAGGTGCTACTTTTAGAACTTGAAAATAGCAATCACCAGCTACACAACTAGTGTAAAAATAAACTCCCAGAGGGTAGTGGCAAGGCTGAGAAATCCTAAATTGAACTATTCTTTCTTGATGGCTGTTTTCTAAATCATGTAATTTTCCATGTGTGCCTTCACTGAGGATCAAAATCAGGGGACCATCAAGAAAGTTGAGTAGGGTGGACCTGGAGGTCCACACCTGTAGTCCTAGCACTGAGGAAGGCTGAGGCAGGAGGATCAGAAAATGAGTCCTCCCTGGACAATTTAGCAAGACCCTGTCTCAAGATAGAAAAAAATTCTAAGAAGGCTGGAGAGAAAGAGAGAGACAGAGACAGAGAAACAGAGAGAGACAGAGAAAGAAAGACAGACAGAAAGAGAAAGAGAGAAAGGGAGAGAGAGAGATGCTTTGGGAAAATGCATGTGCAGCTGGCATGTACTCCAAACCAGGCCTTCCAAGTAAAAAGAAGTAAGCCCATTTGCCACCAGTAATTGAGTAATGTTTATATAGAAGGCTTAAGAGAGAAGGTACATACTCACTTACAGTGGATCACCTTTCCCTGGCTCACAGTTATTCAGGGCCTGCTAAGTACTCAGGAGACCAGAAAAGTAGATAAGTCTGTCCTTCCCACCATATACTGGGACTGTGTTTCTGTCCTTTCCGCACCTTTCTTGGTCTGATCCCCCTGTCAGGGGATTAGGGTGTAGAACTATGTCAGCACCACCTCAAGTGGGGAACTAGATTTAACTACCAGAGCTAAATGTTTAAACTCCTCTGTTACAGTTCTCTCTATGCTAGATGATAAACTGAGTTCCAAGGAGGATTTTCAGGTATTACACGTTCTTGTGCATTGCTTCAAATTTTTTTCCTCCATTCCTTGCTGCACCCTCTTCCCATAAGCTCTCATCAGCTTCCCAAAGGTACAATCAAAAGTGTTTCCTTCATGTCGGGGGTACTGGCATGTTTGGCTTCCTGCTGCTGGGTGCTCTAGGAAACGAGAATAAGGGTGATCCACACTGTCCTGCTCTGTCT